CGATTCTGGTTCCCCTAATTTAGGTAACTCTGACTCACTCAAGAACAAGAACTGATGAACGTCTGTCGGCAGCCGTTGTAGGATTTTTAGGTTCCTATGAGTCTCAACTTAGCGCGTTAGAGTTTGGAATACGTATCCCTCGTATCTACGGGCAATTGTTAAAATTATGAATGAATGCGGATTTTGTTTAGTCTCGGAAGTCATTTTGTAGTATTTAGGCTCCACCCTTAAGTTGTAATTTCTATACCTACTAAACTACCGTTGCCCCGCAGGTCTTTCAGTTTGTAATGTAAATTTTCCTCTTAAACCCGAATCGCCGAATCCAAAGTCCCAAGCTCTGCCCATTCCTTTATTAATGGTATTAATTTATATACATCATTTTTATCAATCTAAATATTTCGTTTTCAGCTAAAGCAAAAATCGGTCATTTAATTATAGGTGATTATAAATTTTGTCCGTATTTAAAAAAATTAAATTTATGTTTTTTTGAGAACATGCATCTAGCAATCAGTATGTAGGTATATAGAATCAATAAATACAAAAAAAAAACTTGTTTTTAAAAAATAAATAATTATGTAAGTACTTATATCTTTGTAATTACTATTTAAATAAAATAAATAATATAACTATATATTTTTTTTATACTAAAATATTGATCTTCCGTCGTTTCCGTATCCAGATAGAAATGTTCTATGCTAAGAACTCCGTGAGTAGCAAATAACAAATTCAACGGATCGATAATTCATTTTGGCGAGTAGATTATTTTACCAAATATTTGACTACATGCACTACTGGTTAGGCAGTCCCGCATTACAGAATTCGACTGCAAATCCTTTGGAGACTCTGTCCCTTATAACATTGTGATCAATGGACAATTGTTGCCAACTTATCTACACAAAGGTAGCTTTACATTACAGAGTGTTAAAATAACATTTACCTGTGAATGTATCAAAGATCCACTGTCGTCGTCGTTGTCATTGTATTTTGAACTAACAAATTTATATTTATCTGGACAAATCCGAAAAGTATTAACGATTTTACCTACGTTTATCAGCTTTCACGAAGTCGCCAGGCGGAAAAGGTTAACATTTCATCATCAAGCTATCGTACGCGTTGAAACTTTACCGTTAAAAGCCAAGTTCAGTCTACATATATGTTGGTGAGATGCATAATTTATCATTTGACGTTAAAGTTGTTCTCTATATTTGAAATATCATGCGAGATACGACGTTTCCATAGCAAATTGAAGTGAAATTGAAATGACGCGCTTACTTAAACTTACATGTAATATTTAGATTTATTACGTTCATAAAAGTTGGAATTTATAACGGGGTTGTCATTTTTCTAATTAATATTTAATATATTTTAAAAAGTTCAGAAAATAGTCAAGGTGTAAGCTAAGCTCCTACTTAACCAACCTAATAATTTAAATTATATGCTATAAAATTAATACAAAAGCGCCTTAATATTGCAAAAGCGATAAAACTATTAGAAAGGCAAAAAACATGGTTAAAGCGATAAATTGTTGTAAAGACAATACAATAGATGATTTCAACGGAAGACATCTTGAAGTTGCAAGGTCATTGGAAGATCTTTGTGCCATCTATAAGTTTACATAACAACTAATAAAATAAAAAAGAAAACTGTAAATTATTATGTTGGCAATCTGTCTAAACTTACGGCGGCGTCAACATAAATTTCTTTTTTTTTTCCTGCCTTCTTCTTTAGTTGTATGGGCTCAGTTTTCACTCTCACTATCACCAAGATCTGGAATTTAGGGACCGTATTTATAAATAGAACTTACCTGAGTCGGACTTGGGTAAGTCGTCCTTGAACTAAAATCGAAGTTCCGTTATATCTCGTGAATTTAGAGATGGGTAGTAACAAATCCGTAAATGTACAGATTTGCTAATATCTATCTCTAAGTTCCAGTTTGACACTAGAACCACCTAGAACTTTAGAGACGTTGTAATCGAACTTCGATTTTAGTTCAAGGACGACTTACCCAAGTCCGACTCAGGTAAGTTTTGTTTATAAATACGGACCTAAATCTACATGGCTGGCTAGGCGCGCGTTAGGTCTCTATGACTGATTTTTGTTAAATTAAAACCTTTTTTAATGGGTGTCGGCTGCATTACCCAACAAAACGGTTTGAATGTTTTCAGTATTTTTGTTGACAATGAAGATATAAAAAATATTTCGAGTAATATGTTTGTGTAAAATGAATATTATTTAATTCATCCTCTAAAATCTTACAAGAGTGTACAATAGTTTGTATAGAATAACCAAAATATATGAAATAATCTACATTGGTATAGGTCTGTTTAAAAAAGCATCGCTTGGCATGGACTTACCTTATTAGGTGTTAGGGTATTTGAAAGAAACGTTTTATACAATGTGTCCAATTTAAGTCGGCGCACCATATATGGGAAACTTTTTTTGGGAAACTTTTTTTATTATTAGTTTTATAGAAAAAAGGTATTCTTTATAAAAAGTTCTTCATGATCTACTTAAAATACAACCATCAGATATTAAATTTTTGAGTCGTGGTGCATCAAAAAATATAAATTTTGTTCAAGACTAATTATAAGTACCTTTATTTTTGACAAACCTTGTATACGACTGATAAAATATGATATCTAATGATTTTATTTTAGGTTTAAGACCACATACACATACAACTATGAAGATGACAAAGAAAGAAAAAAAATGAATACCGACGCCGCGCGCCGTAACCTTAAACAGATTGCCAAAATAATAATTTACAGTTTTCTTTTTTATTGTATTAGTTGTTATGTAAACTTATAGATGGCGCAAATCTCTTCCAACGACCTTGCAACTTCAAGATGTCTTCCTATCATCTATTCAAGTAGAGGCAATAAACTTGATCTGAAGGTTATAATACTATTGTAAAAGCTATAAAACTATTGTAATAAAACTTTTATTAATAAAATAAAATTGACATAAAAGCAGTAAAACTTCTGTAAAAGCAATAAAAGTGTTTTGTAGAAAATAAAACTGCTGTAACGTCAATAACATTATTGGTAATTTAATAAAACTGCTGCAATGCAATAAAATTGAAGTAAAATTAATGGCAATGCAATAAAAATATTGTGAAAGGCAAAAAAACGATTGTGACAGGCAATAAAACTGCTGTAAAGTTATTAAAATTGATTATAAGATAATACAACTGTCATTCAGGTAAAAAAATTGATGTAAAGGTCATTGAATTGATGTGTTGACGATAAAACTATTGCAAAGAAAACAAAATTTAAGGCTAATGCCTATTGTAAATGTATTACAATTAATGGCAATCCAATTAAACTATTATAAAGGCAATATAATTGATGAAATTGCAACAAAATCGACGTAGGCAATAAAATGTATTTCAAGGGAATAAAATTGTTGTAAAGGCAATAAATTTGATTTAAAAGCGATAATAAAATTATTCTAGAGGCAAAAAAATTAATGCAAAGGCAATACAACTTCTATCAAAGCAATAAAATTGACGTGTAGGTAAAAAAATTGCTAAAAAGTAAATAACATTGTTTTAAGAGTAATGAAACTGAGTAATAAAATTAAAGTTGATGAAACTATTGAAAAGGAAATGTTAATGCAATAAATAAATTTATTGTGAAGGCAATAAAACTGATAAAATTGATGATAAGGTAATAAAACTGTTCTTTAGGCAATACCATTCATGTAAAGGTAACGAATTTGATGTATAGGCGATAAAAGAAAGACAATAAAATTGATTATAATGCAATAAAACTGTCTTAGAGACATTAACATTGACATAAAGGCCATAGACTTATTGTAAAATCAATTAAATTAATTTCAATATAATTAAACTATTATAAAGGCAATAAAATTGAAGCAAATGCAATATAACTTCTGCAAGGGCAATAAAATTACTATCTAAACAATAAAACTAATAATATTGAAGTTTAGGAAATATAAATCTTGTAAAGGCAATAACATTGTTATAAGGGTAAGATAATTAATGTCAACGAAATAAAACATAAAACTATTGTAAAGGCAAAAAATTGTGCAAATACAATAAAACTTCTGCAAAAGCAATTAAATTAATGTTAAAACAATAAAACTGCTGTAAAGGTAATAATTTTAAGGTAATTTAATTCTTGTGATGGTAATAAAACTGAAATTGAGGGAATAAAATTGATGTCTAGACACTAAAACTATTGGACGGTTAATAAAATTGATTTTTAAGTAATAAAATTATTGCAAATGGCAATAAATCTGTTGTAAAAGCATTAATATCAAAGCCAATTGTACAGATATTAAAATTAATGTCAAGGCAATAAAACTGTTGTAAGGTCAATACAATTCTTGTTAAAAAAATTCTTGTAATGAAATTACAAACAATTATAAAAATGTATGGTGCTCATATAATACATAGAGAAATATTTATACGTACTTACAACGTGGTTTTAACTCATGTTGCAAGATTGTTCGGTTAATGATTAACTTAATATTACTTTGCTTATCTATCTGGTATCTGTAACGTGTGGAGGGTGGGTTACCCTATGGCACTTAGGCCTCACTAGGCCCACTGTGCATCCACTTAAGATGATAGGCACCTCCTAGCTCGTGAGCCAACCTACATATTTAATGCAGTTGACAACGTCGCCAAGAGGTGTTTCTCTTATATCGGTCGTTGAAATTCGAAACTCGCCGAACACAAATCTTCTAATAAATGAGAGCGTCGAGTAATCGTAGAGGATATGCTTGATGGTCTCATCTTCTTGTTAACGTCCCCTGACAGTCCCATGATAAAGAGATGTTTCCGTACTTGGCAATGACCTGTCAGAATGCCTGTGACTAGGCGCAGATTCTGTCTAATCATAGTCAAGTATTTGTTTACTGCAGTATTGTCAGGTTAACTTAAAAGCTTATACATTTTCTTTATTATGGAATACAGTTTTATAACATATTTTTTCTTTGTAGCAAAGAAGTAAAATTCCTGTTTTTCATTTTAGGATTTTGTTCAAAACCTTTCGATTCTGTCGCGAGGATCACTAGACGAAAAACTACGATGGGCCTTCTCGTTGTACGACATCAACGGAGATGGGTGCATAACGCGCGAAGAAATGACTGACATCGTTAGCGCCATCTACGATCTTATGGGTAAACTAGCCGAACCTTCCATCGAAGAAGATACTATTAAAGAAAAAGTCGATAGGATATTTCAGGTAAGCCAGTCGATTCCCTGTACTTTTTAATATACTTTTTTAAGATATAATGTCACGATATATGCAAAACTATAAAATTAAACAAAAGTTGCAAAACAGGTATGGTTCAAGAACTATGCAGACTAAGACGTATAATCATGCAGTATATCGTTAATATCTTCATACGGAAATCTGGATCATATCATTGTCTAATGTTCGAACAATAAGTTTGGAGTTAAGTTACTATTCTATACTTTAAATTTAGAAATATACATTTTCAGTAAATTTGGCTTTTCTACTGACCAGCTCAAGATGTTGCCTTCCATTGTATCAAGTCAAAACTAATATTAAACTAGAACTAGACCTCCAAAATTATATACATTTATGTATCCCTTTCTTTTCTTTAATTGCCCAGGGATTAAGAGGAATACATATCCCGTCTTAGTGTGTAAATGAACGTTGTATCTATATTTTTCAAGTGATTTAAAAGAAATTTTGAAGACACGTTTTACAGTTTTTAAATTTATAATTTTTTAAAAATCTAACTACAAGAGTCGAAAAATAATAAAACTACCTTAATATTCCTAAAATTTGAAATGCCACTTTTTGTAGTAATACATACAAATTGTTTTTAAATATGGCACTGATTGAAGCTGCTAAGTAACTATTATTATCATTTGTGTTAGTCGACTGCAACTTTTATTAAAAGATGGAAAGTAGAAGAAATCTTATCGCTAAAAAGTTAAGTTAGGATTTTCTGAATATTCTCTTATAAGTAGATATACAAAGTAGCTAGCGGCATTTGAAATAGTATATTACATTACGAGTGTGGAAAATCACTTTTCACACAAGTGATGTACAATATTTTTCCTACGACCACAAAATATTTTCATCAAAAATGTAAAACCAGGTTATTATAATAATTAAAATGTATTTAAAAAAATAATCAACAACAATCGTATTTATTCAATTTTCATATTTTTTAAACAAAAAAAAAATAAGAAACAAAAAAAAATAAAAAAAAAAAACAAAAAAGTTCTGGCCCCGCCAGGATTCGAACGCGGTCGTTCGTCAGGGGGGTTATTCTCTAACTTTTAGCCGAAAATGTATAGCAACGAAAGCGCCAAGCGGACTTCTTCACAAAGTTCGATTACCAAAACGACAAGCATGCCATTATGGTATTCTCTAATGCTAGGCGCTTTTGCTATTCGCAAGTGATTTTCTTTTTTGTCGTAAGCTGTCATAAATATAAATCGTAAATATTGATTGGTTTGAATAACTAAGCTTAGTATTTGAATGTCATTTTGACAATGATATAATTAATAATTAACTCATTAAAAATGAACGCGGTGAAAAAGCAACTCTCTAGGGCCCAAAAGCAAGCCCTACTGGAGTATATTGAGGCTAATCCCAATAGTATAAATAACCAAAAACATAATAATCAGCATACATGTGCTGACTCCAAAAAATGTGGGAGGACTTGACAGAGAAAGACTGGTAATATTGGAGAAAGGTATGTATTATTGTCTGTAATAATATTAATTAATGGCAATATAAAAATAAATATACTATATAAATAAATTATTATTAACACCTAACACTTTCAGCTAAAGAAAGTACAAGCTCATTTTAATTAGTTTTAATAATAACAAAATTAAAAAATATTATGAACGAACTTTTAGCTTCATAAATGTTATGTATATAATATTACCTATAGTCACGATATGACGACTTTAACGTAGTCTCTGCTTTTAGTCTTGGAATGACATCAAAACCAAAACCAAAACAAAAAATCTAGAAACAATAACAGCCGTATGCATAGTCGATCGCCAGCGACTCGCCAGAGATTATCACCGGTATCTCTCGCATTTTATTCATGATTCATATCTTAAAACTCAAAAAATAATGAACGAATATCAAATTTTTCCTATAAAAGAACTTGAAAACTTGCGTGAAATGACATTCCGGTGACAATATCCGGCGAGTCACCAGCTTTTTGGGCTTTCGCCGGCGGATCGCCAGCAAATCGCTGGCGATACGCCGAAATGAATCTCTGGCGAGTCGCTGGCGATCGACTGTGCATACGGCTGATAATCCTATATAAAAACAGGTGGTGGATCAGGAGAGATGGAGGAAATGACAAATCTGAAAGTTTTTGCCAATATCCAACTGATGCCATGAAGCGAAGTGCTGCTAATAGCTAAAATATGAGAAATAAGTTAATAATATTTTATATCATCTAAATTATTAAAATGTTAGTACTCACTTATCTCTTTACAGTCAATGCAGTGTTTATTTGTGGATTAGATACTAAGCAGGGTTCAATGAGAGCTTCTAAGTTAATCACAACATCCATTCGCAAACGAAATATCTTGATAAATTGATTATCTGAAAGTTCTAAAGCATTCTCCGGGTTATAGTAGCGTCGGACCTCGCGATTTTCAGCATCTTCGATGTTTTGAATACCATTTTAATATACTATAATATTTAAGTCCATATTTTAACTGTTTGGACTACGTCCACAAATCTTAGTCTCATATGTCAAAATTTGAAGTACGAACAGCAAAACGCTGCTCATCTGTAACTTTTTTGAAAGCGCTTTACGTTTTTCAAATGCGCACGGCACAGAAAGTAGAGAATACCAAAACGTTCGTGCTTTACGCTTTTGTGAGTTGTTTGTCGCGTTTCTAGAGAGACGCGCTAAGCGCTTTCAAAAACGTAGGTTAGAGAATAAGCCCCCTGGTCTCTCAGATGGCAAATTTGATAGTTTGATGCTCTAACCAACTGAGCTAACAGGCCTTTCGTCAATTGAATGATCTAATCGGTTATATGTTTAACCAGAATAAAAAGCAAACATAATCTTAGTTATTTTAAAATTATTTGAATAATAATTGTTAAAGATAAATATCTAGGATCTAATTTACAACAATTTCAATAATTTAACAATCATATCGATTTTAGTATTAATATGGACATTACATAGATCAAAATAGAAATTAGGTGTTTGACATTTTGTGACAACTACTGCGGGAAGTAACATATTCTCACTCGGGTGGAAAGTAAATTCTTAGTGATACGCGTGTGATATAGGGAACTTTCCATAGGACTATATAGTGTGATATGTGTCACTTTCCTAAGTGGTCGTAGGAAAAATTCATTATTTTATTGTATATAAATTTCTTTAAGGGTATAGTTTGTGGCACAGATAAATTTTACGATTCCACCATTAAATATAATTGTCTAATAGTAAAATGTATCTATGCCGCCTACTATATATTTAAAAACTTACGGTCCTCTCATGTAAACCAATTGGTCCAATTGGGGCAACCCTCAGTGTAAATTATTTATTGTTTCAATGGACTGTATTTGTTTGTAAATAAATTCACCTCTTTTCTAGTCACTTGAATTAAAAGCCAAAGTTTCAGTTTAACAACTATTTATTTAACTTTTAGAAACAAGCCAAAGCCAAAATGCTGACGATGGGATTAATGCGATTTGAATATATTCAGGCTAAGCCTGATCGATAGTAGGACTAACGGGCCAATTCAATTCTTCTTGAATTAACCATGCGGGACCGTGCCAATATAATAGTTTTAGGCCACGAGACACACAATCCGCAGGATCTGAACTAGTAGGAACCTGTCGCCAATCCTCTGTGATGGACAATGTCTGAATGTTAACTACCCGATTTGCTACAAAGGTTTTGATCCGATTATGTGGGAGTATTTACCCAACTTAAGGCAATCGTAGAATCGGTCCAGTAGTTTATTTTTATTGAATTTTTAATTTTTTTCTACCAATTTACACATGAACAGTGCACCTAGTAACTCCAATATGATTATGGTTTGCGTTTTTATTGGCACAGATAAGCTCTAAGCTACATTCGCGATTCATGCTAAGAGATCTGATATAAACACAGGCTCCATAAGCGAAAGAAGATGAGTCCGAGAATCCATTCATTTCTATAACTAGTGGATCTAAACATCACTCGTCTAGGAATTTCGTTATTGAGGAAAAACCGCTATGAAGTGGACACTTTATTAAAAATAAATAAATTAAGTTTTTATAAGACAATGAAATTATTTAAACCTACATAAGTGAGAAGCTCCATTAATATGCTTGTAAAATAAACTATTAAAAAAGAATAGGCCTGAGGAATTTGGCATAAGTTGCTTTCGTCTATTTCAAACCATCGATGTATTGAAACGGACAGTGGTGGTTTTGGAAATAATATTCGCATTAGAAGATATTAATTGCTTCAAAAATATATTAGGAACAGTTATTACAATAAAAATTTCGGACACCCTGAATACCATAATTTCATGTGCCCATGAAGAGCATATAAAACACCAGTCTGTTTTGTTACAATGATATGCTTCCTTGCAATAAACATAATTATCTTGCTTTACCGCGTTATTGTCGTTTTTGGTGTTGGGATCTATTTTTCCTTGGGCATAAGTTGGTTTTGTTTATTGTTGGGTTTTAATTCCGGAATTCGGAAATATTGACTTAGAGGAACTTAATCATTAGACTGCTCACTATCATCAGGATTCGTTCCATGATAGTAGTCGTGTAATGGCAAATCGTCATCACTTCAATCGTGTATGGTCAAATTGTCAGATTCTTCTGAACTTGACTCTTCAATGAGGGTTTTTATTTATTTTTTTTTTTTTTGTAGCCGCTGATACTTTTGAATTTAACTTTTTCTTTGTTGCTGCTTCTTTTTCTTCTAAAAGTCTGTCTTTTTCTTGTGTCTCAGTGATTACTGTCGTTTTTTCCCTTACGAGGTCCTCGCTATATTTTTTTTAAGTGCCCTAGGATATGGCCTTAGTTGCTCGGGAGTTATAGTGATTTTCGAAGTGGACGGCTGTAAAGTATCTTCTCCTAAGGATTGTGGAGTTAAACTTGTAGCACTAGACGTTGGTGGCTGAGCAACAGCTTTGACGCTCTGTAAAGTGCTTGGATCCGGCCGATCTGATACAAATAAAGACGAGAAATCGTCTTCAGAAAAGATATTTCTGTCGAATGGGTGTATTCCGGTTACCAAAAATGCCTTTGTTATGGTTGCTGGTGAAAATGCATGAAGAAAAGCCTCGTTAGCAAATGAGGCCACTTTGTAAATAATTACGGTTTTTCCGGGGTTTGACAACATCCAAGAATTCATTGTCGTTCTACATCTAGTTTAAAAGGGTTCATATACATAAACATCTAAAGGTTATAGTCGATGACTATAATTCGGAGAAAATGTAAGAATAATTATATGATTTCCCCTTGCTAACATGAAAACTTCAACTGTAATATGCGTTTTTTGGTTATCCATCAAAATTAGGCATGGGTCGTCTGCAGTTGGTTTTACAAATTTTATAAAGTGTTTCAATGCATCTAAAAATCCTTCCTCCTTCATCCAACCACTAGGATTTGCAACTCCTTTTGCACCAGTAGGTCCTTATTTCAATATAATTTCTTTAAAGTGCACTCTAGGGAAAAAAAGGGGTTGTTTCACCAGATGTATTTATAAATCCAAGCATTGTAAAATCGCTAAAAAAATGATTTTTATTCTCAATAAAACTGACTAACTCCACTTGCTCGAGTTTGACATATGACGTAAAACTGTGCGCACACTTTTAGTATCGTCATAGCATCTCCTCTTTATTTTATATCAATGATTGGAAACTTCGTATGCCCCGCCCTACTTTGTGACGTCACAGTGTGCGTTGCACAAATTAAGCTGATTTAAGTGATTTTATGTTTATTTTACTACGTTTCATGGATCTGTTAACGTGCAATATCTCTTTTGAGCTAAAGACTTTCGAGAACGCTTCTCACTCCTTCGGGCTCACCTATAAAAGAGCGCCATAAAAACGCGATTAGCCAGAGCGCAGTGGCGTACCCAAAAATAGATATTAACACGTATGAAAACAATAAAATTATTAAAATTGAAATAATATGTTTATGTTATTTATTTTAAAATAATGTGTTTTTATGAAATGACTACGACTATCTATTTCGTTATTATTAGCTATTTGATTCGTTAGATTAGCACCAATGGTAAGAAAATGCCTAGCTTTTTCCATGACCTGCTCAATTGCAGTTTGAACTTCATCTAATTCAAACAATAATCTGTGAACTTGTTCAAACCACTGTTCTAATTCAAAAATTGTGTCTATATCTGTGATTTATCTACTTGGATATAATGTGTGTAAATTATTAATCAAATCCCGTCCAGGAGATCCATATGAAAAAATTATTTAACCTATATATTTAATGTCATCGCTTTAGGGCTCTAAATTGTATTGATTTATTCAACTACACAACAAAGTGTTCCCTTAATAATATAAAGATATAACTGCATATGAATTAAACAAAAAAAATATATTATTTTGGATAAGTACGTAATAATTCGACTGATTAACGTTAAAAAAAAAGTCATCTCTATAGCACAAATTGGGAAATACATCTTTAATCCCATTAGCAAAATCTCACCTCAGATATATCAGATGTTCGATGACCTGCAACGCCAATCTGATGCCCTCAGGACGAACGCTTTGTCCTTATCGGTATCCTTTAATTAGATAGCAGGATGTTACGTCGCTGAACCATTTATCCCAAGAGCTGATATCAACCCTTGTTCGTAGCCCTTGTTTTATCTTTTATCTGAAACTTCTGTACACATTACAGTTAAAAAAATATATATTCCTTAGTACGTACCTCAGATTGGTATTTATGGTTCAAAAAAGATATAAACCTTCTGATATCAATTTACGTTTCCTTAACGAAACTTTCACTACATTTAGCCCCTGAGACTCTCGACTCAAATGGAACGAAACGACTGAAAGGGGACATTAACCGAAGAATTTACGGACACAAGAAAGATTAGGAACAAAATCTGATACATTCTTTAAAGCGAAAGTCTGAGAACCATAGGAACAAACAACTTTAATCGAGTACGGTTTTTGGGACGTTTTGAAAAAGGGAAAAAGCTCTAACTTTCAAAGAAATTCAATTATTGCCGTTTTTACTATGCCGAAGGAGTTTTAGAGTATTATTTCGGAATTACTGAGTCGCGATATTATAATGTTTCACTTTCAGCGTGATTTGAATCAAGATTTTAATAGTAATAGTAATAATAGCTATTTGGATATGGGTAGATATAAAAAATAGCCGCTTTTGAAGATAGAAATTAAAAAAAAATATGTAAAGCTAAAATTAAAAAAAATATATAGTAAAATATTGCTGAGGCGTCAGAGATTCCAGAAAAAATTGCTGCAGCGCAGTTTTTTAGTTTTTGCCTTCCACGAGAGTGAGTAGGTGCCAGGAGAGATAGAATTTAATATTGAAAAATACAGGTATTTAATTTTTTTACTATAATTTAATCTTTAGACTTCAGAATTTTGTAAGAAAAATCAAATGGAAAATGACTGGCAAGTATGTAAAGTAAAACAATTTTACCTAGCTCAAATAAAAACCCCAGAGCAAAAACAAATGATTGTGTAAAATATTTAAAGGATTTTATTCAGCATACAACACAAGACTACTTTGTTGAAACTTAAAAATATAAAAAGTCGGTGCCTGTGGGAACAAATTCTTTAAAGAAAAAGCCTGTGTTTCTTTCCTTGCCAATTTCAACAGGCTCACTTAGCACTCCATGAATTTTACTTTTTTCAAATGAGCAAATGTCCGACTTGTGGGGCCAATTCCATACTTTTCTGTTAATGGCTGTTCCGTGCAGGATGCTGTGACATTTGTTTCAGACATATTTATGACTTTGCCAGGATATAATTTTATTTGGTACTCGACTTTTACCCAATCTCCAAGCTTAAGTTGTTCTGAAAAAATATAAACAAAAACTAACTATATAGTCCATACAGTTAAGAACATCTAATCAAATTTTACCTGTTTCTTGTGGAGCGACTGTAGTGGCTGGAGACTTTAAAATAGAGAAAGGGCTGCACCATCCTCCTGTAGGGCATATATTGCACGAAAGCTCTCTATAGTCAATCTCATTTGATGCAAAATTAATGGAAACATGATGAATCTTCATGGATCCAGAAATTGGCTTGATTTTTTCATTTATTAGTTCGTTTTTTACGCATTGTATTTCTTCAATAGTTACTCTCAAAATTTTAATAGATTTAGTATGTTCCATTAAAATTTTTTCGCATTCTGCAACGTTCAAAATGTCTTTTCCATAAGCAACAGCTTTATCAAGAGTCTGCTTTAGTATACCATCTACGCCATCAGGCGCACCCTTTCCGTGTCCGGATTCACTAAAATTCCAAATAGCTAAATAGACTATAATAGTTCTCTGGCAATTTTGGCATCAAAAAAAAGTTGTTTTTTTGTTTCGGTATTAACCACATGGACCATCGCTTAAAAAGTGTATTTTAGTGACACTCATATAAACATCAAAAATCTTGTAAAGGTGGGCCTAGATAGCTGGTGGGTCGTGCTGAAGATTGTCAGAAATTGTACAAAAACCGATCGGCTTTCCTTGGTGTCTATAAATGAAACCTGTGTGTAGTGTACACTGCTTTTTTTATGCACCAAAGTGCACTTCTTGTGAGTGTTTCGCAGTATAGTTTTCACTGAAGTCGATGTGTATGAGAATTTCTTGTTTTTGTAAATTTTCCTTTAGCAGCCGTGTTGCTTAAAACTGATGCTTTACACGACCCACATGCTTCATAAATGGCTCTTTAACTGATTTTAATTCCTGAACCAACTCTCCAATGGAAAAATGAATATTTTCTTTTACCGTTAGTTGCACGTCTTTAGACACGCCATGGATAATAGAAAACAGCTTGTTGAATTGTCATAATTAAATTCTTTATAAAGTCGCTTAAAGGTTTCAGAACAATTTTTGCAAGATCTTAACAAACATGCTACATCATGTTGTTCATTGCAACAAAGATACGTTAGAAGTTGCTGCGTTGTAGAAAAATGTGTAAGTTTTAGAAATCTTAGTTTTTGAACTATAAACGAAGTATTTGCACATACTTTGCATAGATAGGTGTCTCGCTTATTAATGTTGGGATGTCTAATCCAAAAAGGTATTAACCTGCAAAATTTAGTGTACGATATTTTAACATTAGTACTATCCGCAAAATCTTTGTGCAGCTTCTTCAACGATGCTTTTAAATAGCGAATTTGTTTTTTCCACCATTGTATGTTTTGGTATCTTTTTTCCGGAAGCTAATTTGGAGTTTTCATCCCTTTCTAAAAAACTTCCTATTTCTTTTTTTAAACAATAAATTGTTAAGTCAACATCATTTTTATATTTTACTCTTTCTTCTCACCAAAAATTTGTTTTGCGTATTTTATCATTTTGTATTTTTTTAACACCTTTTATACATGTTCTTATTATTCTGTTTTTCTTTTTGTGTATTATTCCGTTTATAATTAATTTTCATCTGCTTGCAAATTGCCTCGGAAAATGTTTTTGTTCATTAATTTTCTGATTTTTTTGAAGATAATATCTTGTTGGCGCTGGTTTCCGAAATATCACTTATATTTCAATTTTTTCTTCGATTTTAATAGTGAATAACTTTTGAAAAATTTAATTTAGGCAAAAATTTTAAGAGACCTTTTTTGTAGAACATTAAATTTTCTTTAAGAATCCGACGTGAGCCTTTTTAAATAATTATTGATTCATTAGTTACAAAATTTCAAAGTAAAAAGGACAAATCGAAAAAACACATCGATCTATTAAGCTCAATTACGCGGAAACGGCTCGTCTGACGAAAATTTTCAATTAGACCTTTTTTGTAGAGAATTTAATTTTATATAAAAATAAGTGAAAAAGAATTGTTTTCACTTTAATGTTTTGATATTTCTAACGTAAAACATCAAATTATGACTAAAAATCAAAAATAGCGATGAAAGGCCTCTTAAAATTAATATAAAGGGCTCAAATTCTCAATATATTTAAAAAAAAAATAGTCAATTTTTTTGGCCCAGTCTAATGATTGTTCTAACCAAAATTTAAGAAGCAAAAGTAAATACTACAGAATTGATTAAGAAAGAATATATAAAACCTGAAATTTTAGAAAAAACAGTTCAGATTTAAGCAGTTCATTATCTTTAACAGGCTTGATGTACCTGAAAATCTAACCAGTTCGAGCACAAGCCAAGAAAAAAAGTTAAAGAAACTCATAGTATGATGATCTCGAGTATATAGCAGAATATCTTGCTAAAAAACATGAGTTGTTTTTTATAAACAGTTATGCATACCTAACTTGGTTGTTTTATTTAAAAAAAAAAATTATAATTTAAAATCATTTTAAGATTTGTAGATTTTCGTTAGTGGCCCGTTGACAGAATATATAGTACAACTTGAGTGGATTGTCCATTGCACTCAGACGACTGAGCACTCATGCTCAAATTTCGTCTCCGTGCGATATTGCCATCTTATCCACTTTTGTTACACAAACTACTATTTTATTCAATATCTATGTTGTGAAAAAGTAAAATCATTTTATGTTAAAAATTTGTCCTCTTCTAATAAATTATCACATATTTATGTTACATTACAGCATAAACAATAGTAGTTTGTCCAACAAGAGTAGATATGATGGCCATATCGCCGAAGACAAAATTTGAGAACGACGCCGTAAAAACAGAAATGCTATTATTTATCGATTCTACCTAAGAATAACCCATTTTAATCTCAATAACTAAAAAATATACTTCCAATTAGTTTGACAGAATTGTCACTTATTTAAAAATAATAGCAGTCGGTTCATCAAAATATGAACGGCAATTGGTGGATTTCATTTTTTTTAAGTGTACCTAGAATGGATATGAAATATATTCTTTCAGTTGAAGGCAATAGCATACTTTTTTGTTTTGTAATATGTGCGTAGATAGGCTAATATCCATGTGGTTGTAGAAAAAAATATTTCCAAGCCACATATAATTAGATTACATTATCATTTGCTTTTTAAAAAGCGATTTAAATTGGCTTTGCTGCTGCGAGTCAGTTTTCTCTTTAACGTTAATCTGTACTTGTTCACGTATACGATAGTCGCCATCGTCTTCATCTCCAGAGGCTTCACTTATCCCACGAGGCCTCCTTCAGTTCTTAGTGTCTCCAGAGGCTTCTAAAAAATAATGCTCAGATTGGATTACTTTTTATAAAATGACAGAAATGCTCCTATTTTATTCTATTCATGCCTCGTGGGTTAGTATGCGCATGTCTGAGCCCGTAGTAACCTAGTATATCTGTTACTAATTTCAAGCAATAAAATAGTTTTTTATCACATTTTCATAAATAATATTACTAACAGAATAAAAATATATAATACATTTATTCAAAGAAAGGCTTGATTTCAAAAAGATAATGTATATCTGTACATTTCCAATGACATTCGTTTACAAGTTAGAAATCAGGGAACTCGGATATCCTCTAGTACAGCATTCCTAAACTATTTTAGGCAAGAGATCCCTTTTTCAAAATAAACTGATACCTCATACCCCCATAGCCAAAAGCGATAAGGTACTTTCAGCAATGTTCTACAATACAAAATACTTTGTTTCAATGTTGCGCTGCAACCAGAACTTCTGATAGCCTTGATTGATTTTCTTTGCTGATGGTGATCAACTTTTCCTGCATTATCACATTGGCTTCTTCGATGGCTGATATTGTACGGTTTTATTTTCCATTGAGGAATTTGTAAAGTTAAGAGATCCTCAAATCTCTTGGTAAAATCCTTGTGTAATGCGTCCAAGTGAGTGACATATTATGATAAAATAACATCGTATTAATGCGTTTGTGGTAATTTTGACATACGTAGAAAAGGAGAATATTTTTTTCTGCTTAAACTTTGTTTATAAAGGGTAAGTTTATCCACAAAGGCTGATATTATTAATCAAGTTGAGATCATCACCCTGCACCTGCAAATTAAGTTTGTTAAACATACCAAAGATATTAGTCAAGTAATAAATATCTGTTTTATAAATCTTGCTAAGTAGGAGCCTCATGATAGCCAGCGAACTTCAGTGTACTGAAGTAACCGAGTAAAGACTTCGTCGTTTTCCTACATAGATGAGAAAATAACCGAGAGTTCAAAGAATTTCTTCGAAATATGTTGACAGCATTTATAACATATTGTAAAAACTGGTGCAATTTAAGACTCAGTTTTTTGCTACTAAATCCTGTCACAGTGAATGATCAGTACCTCAGGCAGTTGTCACTTTAAGTGACGATGACGACCAACCATAGGGGGTGCACCATCAGTCGCAACAGAAATAATGTTCTTCCATGAAATAGCTTTGTTGGTAAAAAAACGTTCCACGACCAGAAAAATCGATTCTCCTCTGGTATCAGTTTCTAGATATGTAGCAAAAGCAGCTCTTCGCACATGTTTCTATCTTTAATATATCGAATATATCCTAACAACAAAGCTTCATTGCCGGGTAATGTAGACTCGTTTGACTGAAGAAAGAATCTGTTGTTCTGTAAGAAATTGCAAAAAATGTTTTTCACGTCTCGACCCATCTCATCTATTCGTCTCTAAACGGTATTATTGCTCAAAGGAATTGGTAATCCCTGCTCTAGTATATACTTAGTTATTGTTGTAATCGTTCATTACTATTTACCGATTTAGCTTGAGCATCATACACCTGACATCCTAATATAAATCTAGTGAAACATATAAATGTACTTTTTGCCTACTTTTGTACAATCATTCACCGTTTAAGTTTCTAGAAAACCTTTGGGATATAGATACTGTTTAGCTACTTTTGTGTAATCGTTCAGTGTTCTGGATTCTAATAAACCTTTGAGATATTCCTTACATACCCTTTATACCTACTTTTGTCCAATTTTCAGTATTTTATAGTATCGCACATGTTTAATTTCATTACTTTATGACATACCTGTCTTATTAATACCTACCTCTACTTTTATGATATTGGTACTTGATTTTTCTTAAACAATTTAGTAATAAATTTAAACATTTTTTTAATTTTATTTGCGATTTTACTATAACCTTATTTTCAACTTATTAATATTACATCACATAAACAACAATAAAGTATGTCTACGGATGGACTTAACTATACTTGTAAAAATATTTATTTTAAATTAAAAAAATAAGTTATTTTTCATAATTTGTCAACGTGAAAAGTATTTATTTTACAAGCAAAAGAAATTATGAAGAATTTCTTTTTTTTTATTTAAAATAAATATTTTTGCAAGTATAGTTAAAAGTCATCTGTATAATGCTGTAGAAGTAACCCACATATTATAACATCTATAAAATATTTCAGA